CTTTTTCGAAAAAAGTGTTTTTTCGGCGTAATTTTGCAGAACTTTGTTTCTCCTTCTCAGGAACTCTAGAACTATTGAAAAGCTACTCAGAACAGATAAAATATTTAATTTTTTTCAAAAATTAAACTTTTTCGACTTCNTCCCATAACTCTAAATCAGAATAGTTTTGGCACAGTTATTTGAAAAGATTTTTAAATATGCAGATTTTTTAAGCCTAATCTGTTTTGTCATCTGATGGGACCTTTTTCAAAAAGTTCTTTAAGAAACTATTTTTATTCATAAAAAACTCCATTTTTGGAGGTATTTTCAAATCGGCCCAGCTTGCTTAAATCTTAATATTTTTCCGATATATTCTGGTGAACGTCTTAAAATATAAGAGATTTTGTAATCCCGGCGGAAAAACCGCAACTTTTTTTGGTGATGCATTCTAACGTACATATGTATGTGTTCAAAAATATTTGTTTACACCAAATATTTTTTATTCTTGTTACTGACAGAATTGACATATGTAGAGTTAGCAAGTTAACCTTCGGAAATTGCTGGGCTAAATATTTAACGATTTAACTCTAATTTTACTCCTAACTATTGATTGTGCAAGATGTCTGTGAAGTTGGCATACGGTATGACGCAAAATTAAAAAAAAAAAGTTGTTCTGAGTAGCCTTCCAATAGTTCTAGAGTTCTTGAAAATGAAAAAAAAAGTTCTGGATATTTTCACAAAAATAAATTGATTTGAAAATTGGGTATGCCAGATTCACGCAGCATACGACATGTGGCAAAAAGGCTATTGAAAAGTAGTTCTGAGCGCTTTTCAATAGTTCTAGGGTTTCTGAGAAGGAGAAAGAAAGTTCTGCAAAATTACGCCGAAAAAAACACTTTTTTCGAAAAAGTCGAAAAAGTTGAATTTTATGAAACAAAAATAAAAAATTAATCTGTTCTGAGTAGCTTTTCAATAGTTCTAAAGTTCCTGAGAAGGAGAAAGAAAGTTCTGCAAAATGAGGTCGAAAATACAGTTTTTTTCAAAAATTTAACTTTTTCGACTTTTTCGAAAAAAGTGTTTTTTCGGCGTAATTTTGCAGAACTTTGTTTCTCCTTCTCAGGAACTCTAGAACTATTGAAAAGCTACTCAGAACAGATTAAATTTTTTATTGTTTTCAAAAATTTAGCATTTTAGATTTTTTCGAAAAAAGTTTTTTTTCGGCGTAATTTTGCAGGACTTTCTTTCTCCTTCTCAGTAGCTCTAGAACTATTGAAAAGCTACTCAGAACAGGTTTAATTTTTATTTTTTTTTTCAAAATTTTAACATTTTCGACTTTTTTCGAAAAAAGTGTTTTTTCGACGTAATTTTGCAGAACTTTTTTTTCCTTTTCAGGAACTGTAGAACTATTGAAAAGCTGCTCAGAACAACTTTTTATTTGCCTTTTTGCCACATGTCGTATGCTGCGTGAATCTGGTATACCCAATTTTCAAATTAGTTTTTTTTTGTGAACATATCCATAACTTTTTTCCCCTTTTCAAGAACTCTAGAACTATTGGAAGGCTACTCAGAACAACTTTTTTTTTCGTTTTGCGTCATACCGTATGCCAACTTCCCAGACATTTGTGCAAGCCAATATATCAATATACCGGTAAACTTCGAGTTAAATAGATAACCTGCTGTTCTGCAAGTGGGCGAAAAATTAACTGCGGGCATGATATTGATTAAAAAGTAGTACTTGTACATATATGTAACGTATACGCCCCGGAACACTTATTGCCACTTATAGCCATACCCAATCAGCTAACACATTTATAAGCACGTCTTAGCAATTTGGACTACTTGGCGACTTACTAGTTTTATTACTGTAGATTTGTTCATTTTGCCAAGACAAATATTATTTAAATTAAATAATTAAAATAAAAAAATCTTATAATTTTAAAAATTACAAAATAAATGGTGGAACCTTTTCGAACTTCAGATATATGTATGATGTACTTCATGCTAACCTCCATTGCCTCTTATATGAACATTCTATTTGAAAACTATCCAAATTTCGATAATAAAAAAATGCGTAATTTGGGTAAATTTTCGCCTAAACAAATGTTTGAAGGCTAAACTTGTTTACATACTTCATTTATTTTTTAATATTCTTGTTTCTGGAACTGTATTGATTGTTATAAATGCAAGAAGAATGCTATAGAGTTTCTTATGGCGAGAGAAGGTAGTGATACTAAAATTAACAAACTGTGCGTCGCTGTGAACTGGTAATTTCTATAGTGCGAGAGGAAAGCGACAAGGTATTGCAATCATTTTATAAAAGACTAGAAGACCCGTCGAACTTCGTCCCGCCCAAAATTTGTATATATTTTATTGAAACTTTTTGGTCAAACATTTTCACCAACAATTCACGTTGACGATTTTCATTGGCACATTTGTCTGCTAACATTAAGGTTTGGTGGTCATTTGCCGCTTTAAATAACTTAAGGAAAGTGTTATATCCGTTCTTGAAATTCTCCAGTTTTGCGGCATTTCATAGCACGGTTATTCGCAAAGCGAAATACATTTTTTCCTCTTCACTCCCTGGCGGCAACAATGACCCGGTTCTATAGTGAATGTCCTAGAAGCTTTACAGTATAGTAGGTGGCAATTTCAAAATGGGTGCGAATCATTGTTCTACAGAAATGCAATATACATATACTTATTTCAGACGAAATACCTTAAAAGTTTGAACGCATAATAATATTGGAAAATCACATTCATTGGGCCAATTGCAACGCAGGAGCGTTCGAAATACTCAATGGTGCAACAGGTCGATTTAATCTGACCTTCACGGCCCCTTTTCTCACTTGGCTATTTTTAGTAATAGCTCGACTTCAGCACCACTTGCAGGACGTTTTTGCAATAGTATTGCATACATATTTAAAACATTAGCCAAATCGGATCATAAATAAGATTTTTAGTAATAACTCAACTACAGCGCCAACTGTCGGATTAAATTGTGAAACTAAACCATCCAGAAACCCACTCAAATACACAAAAAGTTTCGTTAAAATCCGCACAACCATCTTGGAGGATTTCACTCACAAACACACCTACAGAACAATAAAAAGATTCATTCAAAGATAGCTAAAGGTTGGTACGTTTGTAGGTCTCACACTCCCTTTTCAAATAGCCCAAATTTTCTCCATGCGTATGGGCTTGATTTCAACTACATACATATCTCCATACGAAGTTCTAGTACTGTAACATGAATACTTTCAGAGATATGCAGTATAAAAATTCGATTTATATGGGAGGTGCCACGCCCCCCTTTCCAACAGCTGCCCTCTTTCTTCATGAGTATGCGATTGATTTCGTATATCTCCATACCAAGTTCCAGAACTCTACCATGAACACTTCCAAAGAGAGGCAGTGTGAAAAATTCGGTTTGTATGGAAGATGCCACGCCCCCTTTTCCAATAGTTCCAATTTTTCTCCAAGAGTATGCGATTTATTTCGTACATCTCCATACAAAACTCTAGAACTCTACCAAAAAATTTCCAGAGATAAGCAGTATGAAAAATTCGGTTTGTATGGGAGATGTCACACCCCTTTTTACAATAGCTAAAATTTTTCTCCAAGGGTATGCGATTGATTTCGTATATCTCCATACCAATTTCCAAAACTCTACCATGCACACTTTCAGAGATATGTAGCATGAGAAATTCGGTTTGTATGGGAAGTGCCACGCCCCCTTTACATATAGATTTTTTCAGCCTAAAACCATCCTTGGGACACGTGCGGCAGGTGGCAGTTTCAAAAAAATCGGTTCAGCCGCTCTCGAGCCTTGCGAAAACTAACAAACGGCTTTCTAAATATATATTAGTTGAGATATATTATATATTATAATTATATTTTGACAGTATCCGTTGTTTCTGATTGGCGCAAAAAAATCTTGCCTAGTGACGAATTCGCCCCTTGATATGGTCGTTACTTAAAGCTATTTATATTCGAAATTGCATGAAAATTGGAAAACAGGAATCTATAAGCTTATCCAGGCAAAAAGCTACCTACGTACCGAATTTTAAGCAAATCGGACCATAAATACGATTACTTCGAACAGATCGGTCCCTGGTTCACTTCTCGGACAAAATGGATCATATATGCTAATATATGCTAAAAAGCTACCTACGTACCGAATTTTAAGCAAATAGGACCGTAAATGCGATTTTTTGGAGTAGATCGGTCCCTGGTCCACTTCTCGGAAAAAATTGATCATATATGCTAATACATGCTAAAAAGCTACCTGCGCACCGAATTTTAAGCAAATCGGACCGTAAATTCGATTTTATCGAATAGATCGGTCCCTGGACCACTTCCCCGAAAAAATGGGTC